GTGGTGGGCAGAGCACAGACAGCCCTTGTGTAGCTTTGTGCATAATTAAAAACAAAACAAACAAACATAGAAGCTCACGTAATGTCCCAAATGGTCAACAGAAAAACGACTATGACGGTTAAATACAACAACTGATTAGTTATTTGTGAGTGTTGGATTATGATCACGGGTTTTTGTACCTTTCGTGAAATGAAGGTGTGATATACATTGACCTGAAAGGGATACAGTGACGTTACTAAAGCAAATTCATGCAAGTTTGGTTTGCATAGTTTTGATTTTACAGATATGGGTCTTGAACAAGTGGATCTTCTCTGCAATTATCTCTTAGCTAGAGAAAGACAGATTAACTATGCAGTTTCTTTGTTGAATTTCACGTAAAGCTACTCATGAGATATTTGTGCTAGCCGTCTCTAACTTAGAAGTTATACTAGAATTAAGCAGCTAGTCAACATCACACACAACCAATGCTTGGGTTACTCTAATGGAATGGTGTGATTGACTGTCACATTATACATTTGAACCTTAAGAGTTGTTTATTTCGTTCAAAAGTACCAAATGGTTATTTAAATTGGCATTTAAATGTGGCGGGTGCCTGTTTAAATGTGGTTTTATATTTCATATAAAACCTTGCATTTTTGTGTTACACACCTAGTTTCAACCCTTCAGTTCGTAACTTAAATCTTTCCATTCGTTATTTCTGCAATTCTAATTTCATATTGGTTATTTAATCTCAATCATACCACAACATAAATAAATTAGGGAACTTGCTACCTGAAAAAAACGTTTATTTGTTTGAATAAGTAAATTTAATACCAATGACGAATAAAAGTTATCGTTTGTAAATAAATTTTGTATTTGATATATTTTCAATCTGAACAGAACCTTATGCGACACATGGGCTAAACGGCTGGATCAGAGATCTCAAAGCTCAGATATAGCTCCCCCCAATTTAAAATTACTGATCAGAGAGAAAGCAACCCTTTTAGCAGCACCCACCACCTATGTGATTACTCTACCATAGCGGAATTAAGTGTCACATTTATTAAACACCAATAAAGCTATAAGTACAGAGAATGTTCAATGGTATCGTGGATCGAACTTTTGTCTTTTGAACCTGCAGCAATTCTCACTAAACACTAAGCACGCCAAACCCACATATATAAACATATATTAGGTCGTCAAGAAATTAATGTCGCTTTTAATAGATGAAAAAACCCGAACAACTTATATAGCAAACAAAACATTTATTAAATGAAATAGTCTCCATTCTTATCCATGATGCTTTTCCATCTTACAATCAGATTGTTAATTCCCTGATTAAAGAAATCACTTGGCTTTGAAGCAAAAAACCTGCGGGTGTCCTCTTTAACACCTTTCACATTTGCATACGTTTCCCCATTAAGATTGTGTTGCAGCGAACGAAAAAGATAGTAATCTGATGGTGCCATATCTGGAGAATATGATGGGTAGGAAGAACTTCCAAACCCAACTCCATAATTTTGTGTTCCATCAAACGTGCCACATGTGGACGTGCATTGTCGTGGAGAAGAAAAACACCTTTCCGATTGACGAGTGAAGGGCGTTTCTGATGAAGGGCTTGATTTAAATGTTCCAGTTGCCGACTATAGATCTCTGCATTGACATTTCGCTGTGGATTGAGGAGTTCGAAATGAATTATTCCGTTGATGTCCTACCCAATGCAAAGCATCACTTTCTACAGATGGAGTCCCGGTTTTGGGGTCGGAAATAGTTTTTGTCAAGGACTGAGCCATTGTTTTTGGTGTTTAATATTCACATAGAGAATCCATTTTTCACAACTGGTGACAACTCTGACTAAAAATGATTCAAGTGCTAGAAGAGACAAAGCAACGTTTACACTTTGGAAATGATGGTCATCGGAGAGTTCATGAGGCACCAAAGCACCTTCTTTATGGAGTTTTCCCATTTTACTTAGATGTTTACATATTTTCATAAGAGACATTCAATTTCGGGACCAATTCACGAGTGTGTTGCCTTGGGTTAGACTCAACAAGCGTTTTCAGAGCATCAATATCAATTCCAACATGTCAGCCTCTGCCATCGCAGTTTTTATGGCTAAAGCCACCTGAACGAAATTTGCTGAACCATCATTGACACAAACAAACGTTCAATACATTTCCATAAACTTCATTGATATTCTTTGTGGCTACATAGGCGTTGTTTCCTTTCTTGTATTCAAACAGCATTACATGCCGATTGTGTGTCTCGTCGTGTGCCACCACTATAAGGGACTAGAGTACACTAAACTTTACACATTATACAGGCTACACTAACATGACGTTTAGGCAGTTAATTTAACTATTATACGCAATGTACGTTTTTTGGGCAGTGAAAATATTCCAAAGCACGACATTTATTTCTTGGCGACCAAGGCAAGAAAAAATAGCCAAGTGCTAGGGACACTGATCTAAACAATGCATTTAGCATTTATCACCTATATTTCCTTCTAACCTGGAGAAAGTAAACGAGAAATCTGCTCTTTCTATTGGTTATTTAAGTCTAAAAAAGACTGTTGCTTAGCAACAGATCACTTTGGAATGTGGGGTCTCCTTTTTGAAGTGTTAGACACTGTAAAATGAAACTAAAGATTAGACTTAGAACTCGTAGAATGTCATAGAAGTACTGAGACAAAACTGAACAGAAACATAAGCAAACAAATCTGAGATATTTCAACTGCATAGGAACTACATGATAGAAAACTGAATTTTTATTTTTTTTTCTAACTATAATGTACTTGATCATAATAATTTCATTAAAATACATTGTTAGTAAAGTGGTTTAATTGAATTTTAAATGTAATGCAGTCTGGTCTGGGTTGGTATTTGGTCATTATTTTCTCATCCTGGGAGAGTCAGTTAAATGTAGACCTCTTCCTCTTTCCTTTATTATTTCTATCTTATATACAAATGTTATATGGGTATTCAGCAAATGAGAACACAATCACTAACATTTAAACACTAATTTAACACAGAAAGGAAATATTAAAAATGATGCCTGATGTCATATGGTTAATAGACCATTAATTAGACAATAATTATTAATTTGCACATCCTTTACATATGCATATTAATTACATATGACGTCATCACTTACGCCTCTATAGTGCCATGCTAACTACTTACATATATATAATACCATGCAAGAGGCCCGGCATGGCCAGGAGGTTATGGCGCTCGACTCGCAATCTGAGGGTCGCGGGTTCGAATCCCTGTCACACCAAACATGGGGCCGTGGGGGCGTTATAATTTGACGGTCAATCACACTATTAGTTGGTAAAAGAGTAGCCCAAGAGTTGGCGATGGGTGGTGATGACTAGCTGCCTTCCCTCTAGTCTTACACTGCTAAATTAGGGACGGCTAGCGCAGATAGCCCTCGTATAGCTTTGCGCGAAATACAAAACAAACCAAACTCATGCAAGGAACTATGTAAAGAGCACGATCTACCTGAATGTCATTCTTAGTAACAAAGCAGATGATTGTGAAAAACATTATAGGGATCAAATTGGCCCAAAATGAAGTCCAATTATCGATTCTGAAGGCAGCTACCATGGATCCAAGTAACATGAGGAAGATAGTTCCAGGACCAAGAACTGTACCAATCATCAGCATTCCTTGGTACAAAATATAAAGGAAAGATATGTTGTCATTAATGGCCACAGTTTTTTTGTAGTCACTCAAAAGGTCCATGATGTTTGCCATTGTCGATGGAGCCCAGCGACGTCGTTGTGTGAAGAACTCACCAAAACTTTCTGGGCAATGAGTGTAGGCATCTGAGGCAGCACTGTACTCAACCCTGTAGCCACGTTTAAGTAGAAGCGTGCATAGCCAACGGTCTTCTCCTGTTCAATAAGAATGAATAAATAGACTTAGAAAACTTCAGTGCCTACTCAGGAAAAATTTCATTCTAATGAATATTGAAAATGCGTTTAGGCCTTAAATAATTTTTCAAGTACGATTTACTTGAAAAATAAGCTAAATAGAAAACATTAATAATAATAGTGTTTATTTAGATAGGCAATTAAACTTTTACTGTAAAACTGGTTATAACTGTACGACATGCATTTAGAGAGTAATCCAATGTAATCACTTTATCTAACATTAGAATCACTATATACTATTGTGGTCTATTGAATATGCATTTTAAAATTTACTGATCTCATTGTAACTTAAGCTTTTACTGAACCAGTGAAAGACAACTGAAATTAAGAAGCTTGGATTCAACAGCTAATAACAGTTAGAATATAACAATATATATCTAATCTATAAATATTAAATAATATGAAAGCAGGAAACCATGGGCATAGCTAGATATGGAGCTGGGGGGAGAGCTGAAGACCACAGCTTCTTAAAACAAGAAAATATTAATACTATAGTACAAATGTTTAATTGAAACAACCCATACATTTACTTTTTTAATAATGCAAGAGTTAACTAAGTTTACAGTATCATAAAAAACATGTTTCTAGAGTTTTTAGAATTTAGGTTTCCTACTATAATTTCCTAGCTATGCCTTTGAAAACAGCAAACGTTCCACGGAAATGTTATCTAAAGAGCATGGATAACTGATTAAAAGATATATATCTTATGTTTTAAAATATTTTTGCTCTAATGTTGAGTAGCTAACGACATATAAAAGAAGTTTAAACATGCGTACATACAGAGCAAGTTATATTTATCACACTTAATCGAATGTTTTCTTAGAGAAAACTTATTTCACTTAATTGATGTATTCTACAGCTAGTCATAGGGTACCCAAATGATGAAACTAATATTTATTAGTGAGAAAATAATAAAGGTATATTTAATTAGCTATACTCGTTACCAGGTTAATCTTTAGTTTCGCTCTAAGTAGATAGCTTGCTCCGATCGGAAGTTAATATTAATTTTTTTAAATGTAATTCTATTAAACAAACAGTTTACTGCGTTTACTTAAATAATTCAATTTTATATCTATTTAAAAGATCAAAACTAGGTTACGTTTTCGTCAATTTTACAGTCATTGCTTTAACTGTATTTAAAAGAGACACAAATAGAGAATGTTCAGAAATTTTAAATGTATTAAACTTTAAAATATAAGGGTGATTTTGTTTAGTTAATTTATCAATTTTTTCATTAGTAGAAAACCTTACTGAGTAGTGTACGATACGCTGATTGTATCTTTATTACTTTTATTTTTCAACTGCTGTTCTATTGGTGGTGTTAAAAAATGTATCGATAAAATCTTAAAACTTTAAATATATTCTACTGTACAGATTTTCCGCCTACGAAGATAATACTGTATAGTTTAACTTACTTTTTTATCAAAATTTGTTTTATTTATTTATTCATCTCTCAGATGAATTTGAATATTTTGATATACACACAGTATTTTCGAAGCTTATTAATTTTTCATAGTTTACCTTGATCGTACTGTACGTAGTGTATAGGTTCTTCAGATTTCGTGGCGTACTTTCTCATCACATTGTCATCCATCAAAGCTTTTACACGAAACAGTGAGAAACACCCAGGACTGCAAAGGACGCATCCAATCATATGTTCAGTAGCTTTCTGGAGCCAATGACCAATGGCATATTCGAATTTCTGATATAAAACCATAGCACCTAAACAAGAAGTTCCTTTTAAACATATTTACTAGGTATATCATTTACAACAGCATGAAAATTTGATTTATTGACGCTACGGATTTGAACAATTAGGCAAGTATTTTATGAGTTAAAATGTCAGCTTTAAGGAAAATGACACTAGTAGTTCACAGTTTTATTTTTATCATTGATACTTTACGATGGGTAAAAAAATACCTGGAAGAAGTTCATTTTTAAGTGTTGGATGTTATTATTGTTAAATATCTCATTGTTAAATAAAAGGACCTGAGCTTATCAACTTTCAATGATATTATATTTCAAACAGCATCACAAACAATTTTAAACTAAAAACACAAGAGCTTACTGGCAACATCTAATAGGAAAATAAGAAAAGGCCGAATCACAAACACTATGCCTTCCCCCCAGTGGTTCATCAGTAATTCTGAGAGTTTGTAACGCTAAAAATAGGGGTTTGATACTCACGATGTGCAAAACACAAATAGCCCATTATGCAGCTTTGCACTTAATGACAAACAACAACGAACCAACATTAACTTTTACCTGACCCTACTGGATGAATACGGCCACATGCAGCTCCAAGTGTTTTATTCTTTTTCATTAGATCAACTAAAAGTCGTACAGCGTCAGCCCGGAAGTTGATATCGCCGTCTAGAGCAAGAATGTAGGTGTTTTCTGCTCGTTTGTCTTTTTGTTCAACCGTAAAGGAACACTCCATAAGTTTGTGGCCAAGAAGGTAGTACATGTACATCACCTACACATGCAGAAGGAGAATTATCTTGTTGAATCTGCACTACTGTCAATAACATTTTTCATCTTGATTCTAAACTAATTAATAGTAAAAGAACTAAAGAAAATACTCATTCGCAAAATGAAGATGACAAAGCATGATTTATAGATAAACACACACACATATACATACAAAATTCCTCTCTTTCAATTTTTACCGGAAAAAACGTGTTAAAAAAAGTTTTATCAAAAGCTACAAATGTGCTGAGATGAAAGTATTCGTTTTCTGTTTGTTTAACTGTCTGTTCATTCTACACTTAGTTTGCTTAATGACAAGACAGGGTTCATACAGGTTTTAGGGGAAAAAATCAAGAACAAGTCAAGGATATTTTCCAGATTTACGGATTCACGAGCATCAAAAATAAAAATTAATATATAGAGTAATTTGTCACTAACTCATACCTGAATAAATGACACTGAATACCCCATTCAGAATACAGCTACAAAAGGCAAAGTCAGTGCAGAGCATCAACAAGGCTGTTGTTGCAACAAATGAGATAAGATAAACATGCACAGTAGTATTCAAATTCGATGACGAGGAACCCACTTTGAGACTAATAATTGTTGGAGACGGCTTGAATGGGTAATGAAGAAAAACTTTAATATAAGTTTAACATAACAGCAAATGTACAACATTTGACCTGATGATGACAAAACCTTGTAGAAACGTTGTACATTTGCTGTTATGTTAAACTGATATTAAAGTTTTCTTCATTACCCATTCAAGCCGTCTCCAACCATTATTATGCACAGTAGTATGTTATCACTCTTTCTCAAATCAGGTATAGTTAATTAACTAGAAACACAAATATTTCAAAATCGCGAAAAGAAACAATGCAGTTACCTTTCATAAAACAAGAAGTACAGTGGATCTCACTTAAGACAAACACGAATTATTCAAAATTCAAAAGTCCCAACTTTTCCTTCTATATTACGCGTTTTAAAAACACACTGAATTCGCACTAAAAATATGAGCTTTTGTTAAATCGAACAAGTACCTTAAAACATGCGTACAAAGTTCAAATATTAGTTTAATTTTTACCAAAATGTTTTGGACTGTATTCTTAAAGACATACCATGGGAAGCAATGCCAGCACATGACCCAGTGACGCATATCTGCTGTGTGTATAGATGGAAGCATATTAGTTTTTCTGGCACGGCGATTACATTAATCTGATTGGCCTTCGATTTTGTTGTTTACTACCTTTATTACAATTCATCCAAGAGTTCAAACATGGACTTAGCAGTTGATAGAGCGATGACTAAAAGACAGTATAAAACTCTTAATATCGAAACAAAGTTAAACTTGTTGGAAGAAATAGATAAAAGCCAGGATAGGGAAACAACTATCGCTGCTAAATATAGAATGCCAAAATCCACATTTTATTAGCTGTGTGTTTTATGCCATGTTAATATAAGTCTGTAAGTAGATACAAAGTACACCCGTCACGTTAAGTGTTTTAATATCATGAACCACGATAGTGGTTCATAATAGGGTTTGCCCAGGAATTTCACAAAAAATGTGATAGAACATAAGGGCAAAACCATCTTAAAAAGCAGATTTGTTCTTGAAACAACACTCAAGACCTTTTACCTCAATGGATAAGGCTGCTAAAATATTGATAATAGCAAGAAAAAAAAAGAAAAAAGTTGACTTTCTGACTGCCAAACAAAATTCACCCGTTTGTTCTTCATGTTATTTTTTTCACAAGCCTACAGAAAAAACGGCAAACGGCTGTATATATATTTTATTTAAAGCTGTGTAAATTTACTAAAAAAACTTCTGCACAGGTCATAGGACTATTTTTATGTTAGTTCTTGAAAGAGAAGATATTTTCAGTATTTCCATCGCTACTGGCCAAGTTTCTCTTCGAAGCCATTGAAGCACTGAAGCCTACAGCAAAAATGGCTAGGTATACTGCACCAAAATCTATGCACAGCTACTAAACACACTCTTGCAAAGGGCTATTTTTAAGTTGATTTTTGAAAGTCGAGATTTCTACACTCTAACATTTAAGTTCTTCTTCGCTACCATTCTTTGAAGCCATTCAAGCATCGCAGAAATGTAGAAGCCATATAAGCACAGTTATACTAGTGGGAAACGCCTCATTTATTAAAGTAAACAATGCGTATATTTATAATAGTGTCTCCAGCCTTATTATTATTATTATTGATTACAGTTTTTCAAGCCGCTACAGAGAAAACGGCTTCGAATATTTTACTGAAACCTGGAGAATAATAATGAATGCAGTATTGATTATGTCATAGGGTAGTTTTAAAATGAATTCAAGTGCCTTCATTTTTCGCCCTGAAGAATTTCTTTACATCCTTCACTTTCCACCATTAAAAAAAAACCCGGTGTTTTACTAATGTGCATTAATTTCTTTAGTTCGCTGTTCTTCACTGTTTCTAGAGTTCGCTGTTGTACTTTGTTTCTACGTGGTTTTCTGCGACTATTTCAGTGAGTTTTCTAACAGTAGACGATTACTATAGTAGATTTCTCTATTCTTGTGTGTGGTGAGTTTATTCTACTGATTTTGTACTTTGCTGAAATTGAGTGTGTATTTTAGCATTATTTTATTATTTTTTACAAGTCTACAGTAAAATTGGCTGGGTATTTTGCACCAAAACCTAGACAATAGATATTTTACATGAAATGTTGCAAATGACCATGACCCATTTGAAAAGCTGATTATTTTTCATTGAAAGTTGAGTTACGTGGCTATAAATATATATAATATATGCGATGTTTTTGTGAGCGGCTTCCCTTGTATTCGATGCTTGTTAAACGCGTGTTTATACGAAACCTCAGGCACAAAACCACTTGGCTCAGTAAATATTGATTGGTTGGAAAAATCCAATGCAGCAGTAAACTGTTGAAAAAGATATAACATTCAACTGAATGCATATGCATGTGTGTAGGTTAAAATTTATTCTCTATAAGTGGACATAAAAAAATATAAGAAACGAGATGATCCCTATCTTTTATTTTTTGCTGATCCTTATTTCCCTTTTTAAATTAACCATTTTTATTTATCTTGTGTATGTCATATAACATACACAACTTGTGAGATTGGATGTTATTTTTTTTAGATAAGGGACATACCCAGAAGAAGTAAATAATTTAATATGTATGTAGTTACCTTCCTTGAGTTTTACTTAAGTGTTTAAAAAATTTTAATTTTTCTTATTTCAAACTTTTCTTCTGATCCCAAGCAGTTCGAATTAAGCGAACTCTAATGTATTAGTTGTAAAACAAGGGCGACCACTCACATTAATTACCAGACGAAACACCCACTTGCTGAGTACTACAAACTACTGACGTTCTTTTTTATAAAGGACAAACACACACAAGGGTTCGTACGCTCATTGAAAATACTTGAATATCCTTGAGTTTTGAAATCATTTTTCAAGTCCTTGAATCTACTTGATTTTTAAAAATTCTTGATTGTATCCTTCAACATACTTAAATTTTGTGAAACAGAGAACGAAATAAAACTAAACACATCTTTGTGCAGGTCTGCTGTGTTTTATTTTTATTGTGTATATGTGTGTGTGTGGCAAAAGAGAGATGCTCTTTGTAGTACACATATAACGAATTTCGGGTAATGATTCGAAACCAGCATCATGCTAGTTTCGTGAAGTAATCACTGGCTCGTCACATATCGAATATTGTTAAACTGTATACATCTATAAAAACTGAAAGTTTTCTGAAGTGATCTTAAACGATTTTGGAATCTTTATAATAACTAAAGAAACGCTTTCTATCGGCACAAGAAACTCATGGGAGAATTTGATCAATTTCTATCATAGTACATTTTAATAGTTTTTTATTTTTAGAATATCACCTGAAAAGTAATTCTGTGTATATACACACATAAGGATGATCTGATGTCTAGCTATTGTTTTTTGTAATTAAGCACAAAGCTACACAATGTACTATCTGTGCTCTGCCCACCACGGGTATCGAAACCCGGATTCTAGCGTTGTAAGATCGCAGACATACCGCTGTGCCACTGGGGGAGGGCTAGCTGTTGCAATCACAAAAAAAGCATTACAACAGCAACGGACCCAAAAACAAAACAAAAAATATCAATCTTAACTGATAATCAGCATAACATAAAAACCAGGTAAAACACTGAAATAACTATTAGTTTACTCTTCATTCTCACAAACAAAATATGTCAAAAACAATGGTACGCCAAGAAAAACGGAGTAGGACAAAAGTGCTACATCAAAAACGTAGTCTATCAAATCATTTGTAATATATGTGGAGGCGCATACATAACAGAACACATCAGTGGGTTACGTACGTATGACCAACACAAAACCGCTCCAGCAGAACACTTCCTATACAAACAAAGTACCCCAAACACAGAAAACCATTTATAGTTTCTAACTTACAAACAACCAAAGATTTTGAAGAGAGTAAATATATGAAAGCTATACTCATTAACGAAAAAAATCCAAAAAATTAACAGAGACAATGGGTGGTACATGAAACTAAACCACCATTCATAAAACAACACATCGTACCAATACACTTAATACTATTACTTTCAGTTTAACACGTGGGTACGCTGGAGTATTACACAGTCTTGCAATTTGTTATTAACACTGCTTATAACCTTTGTATCCTTTCCACTTATTTTTGTTTCTTAGCAGCTTATATTTTCCGTCTATGTATTTAGCTAATCATAAAACATATTGCAGTTCTCTTTATTTTTATATCTCATAAAATAGGTATACATGTCATATGTTAGAATATCTGTATCGTTAGTATTATAACTATAATATTAGAAAAATAATGAAACAATTATTATAATTTATGTATCCTTAGACGTACATTACGGCAGACTCGAGAAATAGAACATTACAAGCAGTTTTATAAATGAATGACTATTCTAATAATAAACAGTTGTGTATATTAACCCTGACGAAGCTGCAAAGGCGAAACGTTGGTTAAAATAATATATATATATCTATCTGGAGTGTAAAGGTCGTTTTTCCCCATAATCTTTCCGTCCATGTCTTAAAGAAGTACACTCTTTCTTTCCATCTAAAACGTTTTTCACATCTTTTATTTTTTAAAGAATTTCACTAACCTGACTCCACCGTTTTTTGTGACGTATCTTTTCTTTATTCTTCAGGTGTGCAATCAACTTGTTTCTTCCAGGCATTATCCAAAGTAAACGACCACCGTATGGAGTTGGGGTTTTTCTAGGAGGTTTCAATTTCATATTGACTTGATGCACATTGCTGAAAATAGATACTGAATAAGTTTTTCCTGAAAAAAAATAGCGTTACAGGGAAAAGCAAAATGTTTATTTAAAATAAAATAAGTTGTTTAAAAACAATATTTATTTTTATAAGAATTTTGTGACGCAGATTTATTCCGACTGTGTTATAATTTAAGGTAATTGTAGTTGCACTCAAGGTTTATGAACAGTGTCCATAAATGCTGTACAAAATTGGATTCACAAAAATATTAACTGAGCTTTGAAGTTGAAGGATTGTTGTTTTAGGCAGAAAGTTTCTTCACATATTATGTTAATTAAACTCACTTCAGTAACTTGAAAAACACTTGACAGAGTGCTGAGGGAACGAATTCGAATCACATCTTCTCTTTACTAAATCAACTATTCTGTCAGCACACTGTTATAAAACCTTCAAATCACGTACAATCATATTAAAATACCATCACACATACACAAATTTCAATCCTACCGTTTCATTTTATCTTTGGATATAGATTTAATGATATCTATAATGTGAGATATCTGAAAGAAACCCAAAAGATATTCTCGAAACATTTACAGCCAGCTAGTAACAGATGACTAGTCTCTTCGTCGATGTAGTTTAGAAAATATTTTCCAAAATCAAATATTAAACCAATAGTAACCAAGATGCAAGCAAAACGAGATTAATAACAGCTAAACTCAGTTAAAAATTTCGTAAACGAAATGAAGTAGTAGCAATGTTTCTAGATTTCAATGCTTTGATGATAATACTATTTTGTTTGGTAATTCAGAAACCCACTAATGTACGAAAAGTGTAAGACGTGTAATTATTAATATATCTATATTAATTTTGAGATACTTTAGACACCGTTCTTGGCATATTCGATGAACAACTCAAAGTTATTATAGTTAATATATAATTATATATAATATAATATATAATTGTTAATATATCAATATATTAATTTTGAGATACTTTAGGCACTCAAAGTTATTATACTTAAGTTTGAGTAAGCAGCTTCTCAAACTCCGTGTGGGTGAAACTATGTTCATACCCCGATTCACATCCAACTTGGCACACGTGTTTTTTTTGTTTTGTGTACGAAACTTACTTGAAGTAGGTATGGATGTCACCGGGGATAGTAGAGGAGCTTTGATAGGCACATTGGAGTTTTTGTAAATCCTAAGGGATTGTTTGAATCATGCAGAGAAGCATGGGTATATAATAACAGAGATATAAAATGCTTTAGGATAAGAGAATATATTTTGATCTTACTTCATATTTTAAGAACAAATTTCAATGCTATATTTATATCTTCGGAAACTTGAAATAAGGAAAATTGGACAAAGTGATATTGACAATTTTGAACAGTTACATACTACATTATTTGTCTTTAGTTAGTTTATTTGTTGTTAAGGACAAAGCTAAACAATGGGCTACCTGCGCTGTATACACCATGGGCATAGAAAATCGATTTATAACGTTATAAGTCCACTTATTTACTGTTGAGCAACTGGGGAGGGTAGGGGTTTGTCTTCAGTACCTGTCTTTACTTTGTAACGAATTTGTTATTATATGAACGTTTGTTTAGATTAAGTGTTAAAGATGTATTGCGTAACTCCCGCCTAGTCTCCAAAGTTATAGAAGATTCTCGAGAGTAAGAATCAACAATATATATATATATTATTTAAACGTTTAAATGTAGCTCAGTATTGTTACGTAAGACTGAATTTTCTAGAAAACCTTCCCACGGCTATAAATATAACCAACGCGACGCGCCAAAGAGAGTGTCTATTATTAGTTCGCTATAATCAGTGTGCTATAAACTTTGGAAGCTATAACTGTGATTGTTATAACGCTTATCAATCGGAAAACTAAAGATATTTGACAAAGAGCATTTACAAAATTCGAACATTACAACTCATTTAACTTCAGTGGATTCACTTCGGATATTAGTGCTTTTACGAAAACATTACCTAACATAACCGGTGGAAAAATCGGCGTGTGATCAGTGAGAGACAAAGCTAGCTAGCTTCCCGTAAGTGAAATATATCTACGTCAACTCGTAATTAACTCGCTCATCGTGAACCCTCGACAAGATATCGAAGAAGTTCCAGATTAGAAAGAAGACTTTATATTGATTGTAAGTTTGTGAAACTTTTGTTTTTAAATCATTGTTTGTAATAACTATTCGTAACAACTGTTATTGTCAATTGTATTGTTGTGTATATATTAAAACGTATTTGGGTTAAAAAAGAAAACTGTGTATCAATCTTGTTGGCAAACATTAC